CACTGTGCCTGACACAGCGCCTCATGCACAGGAGAAGATCAGATCAGTGAATGGGACCTAAAATAAATGTACTGCCCATCGCTGAGACAGAATCTTGGGTAACTGGAAGGAAGAAGGAAAGTGAGACAGGGGAAGGCAGTGCCCCACAACAGAAGAAATCAGGATACAATCCTTCCACAGGGGCACCAACATGTGGACTCAAATCTCAGCACCAACCACAGCGCTGGAATCTCACAACTACCCTGACAGGGAGCCGATTCCTGGCAAGCTTTCTGGAGATGAAGAGTAAATACTGTCTGTGTCTTTGGTACTTAATATCAACTGTACCATGTCTCAACTCTACTAAAGCCAGTTACATACAGACTCCTGAACATTCTCCTTCATCCACATTGTCCTGAGCTGTGTCACCCAGGCTGGAAAAGGACCTGAGCCTTCTCTTTTGGGCGCAGGAAAGGGAGAGCCACTGACTGCTGCCCATGGAAGCCAGACACTAACAGGGGGCCCAGCACAGGCTGTCCTGCCTCTGTGACCTTGAGCGAATTACTTATCCTTTCAGCCTCAGAATCCTGATCTGCAAAATGGAGGTGATAATTCTTCTACTCAGTAGACATGTGGTAAGATGAAATTTGACACAATATATGTAAGATCCTGAGCACAGAGCCTGATATCACAATCCTCAATGAATGCTAGTTTTCTTCATTTTAGCTACAGGACGAGGAAAGCATCAGGGAAAAGAGGAAAGATAGAAGACATATAAATAGAAGGAGGATCAGAGGAACTACCTCAAAGCGGGCCATGAAGTCCTTCAGGTTTGGGAATGCATCCAGGCACCTGGGCTCAAACGTACGCAAATAATCAAGGATGTCATAGGCCAGGAAATCCACATAGGTGAGCTGCAGAAAGGCCAAGCATGAATGGGTTGAAACCTGAAACCTGAAACCTGAAAACAATGACAAATCCACATCCCCCAAAGCCCTCCTCTTACCTTGTCCCCTGCAAACCAAGGCCTCTTCCCCAAAAACTGTGAGAAGAGCTTCACCTTTCCTGGGAGTGCCTCCAAGTACTCAGGCTTCAGTTTCTCCTGAGGCACAAAAAAGCTGTCACCACCCTCAGACACAGACTCCCTGGGCAGGGGGGCAGACATCCCCAGGTGTGCATGACCCCCAGCTGCCACAGGTGAGCAGCGATGTCCCCCAACTGCAGCTGGGTGGGTGCCCAGGCTATTATTTAATCCAACCTGTGTTCAGTAGACTCCTACTTGGGACCACCTCCCATCTCTGAGAGGCAATGGGAAGGCAGAGAGCAATATCACCCTGTCCCTGCATCTGTCACCACTCATCTCCAAGCACACTCACTGGGTCAGACCCAGGAGTACTGTTTCATGCAACTGAGGGTTATGAGGTTACTCCGGTGGCAGTATAGGGACCAGCTTGGAAGATCAGCAGCTCCAAGGAGTTCAAAAGGCAAATAGGACCACTGTAGACAGGACTCAAGCATTGAGTCTACTTATTAAACCTTGTCCAAACCCAGCCCCCTAGGACGGGACTCACAAAGTCAGGGTTGTAGCAGACTCTGGCCAGGTCCATGCGGGTGTCCATAACCTCATTCTCCAAAATGTCCATGCGAATCTTCTCCTCTTCTGTCTCCCCACCTATGGCCACACAACAGAGACTCACCCTCAACATCCCACCCCAGCCAAGCCCAGGGCATGGCCACCTGTCCCCTGCACCACACTCCCAGCCTACTCACATAGGTTGTGCTTGCGAGCAATGTAGCGAAGGATGGCGTTGCTCTGGGTGATCTTGTGAGCCCCATCAATTAAGTAGGGCAGCTGGAAGGACAACAGGGGCAGGTCACTTGGCCACCAGGCTCCCAAGCACCCCCTCTTGAGCAAGGGCAGAGATGAAACCTGGCACTCGCAGTGCCTGGCCACTGGTAAGCACTAAATAAATGTATTGCAAAACGAATGAATGAGCTGGAACATAGAGCATCATGCGAAGGCAGTGAAGAGAACCAGGAAGCTGAGAGTCTGAGCAGAAGGTACCTGATCCTGACACCTGGAATCTGGGACAGGAGATGGAGAAGAGAACCTCTCACTTGCCCCCACAGCACCCCCATCCCCTGCACCTACATGGGGGAAGTCCAGGCCCAGCTTGTATTTTTCTTTCAGCCACTGGCTTCTGTCATAGTCGGGAGCTGTGGTGGAGAAGATGAGTGAAACAAACCTCCCCAGAGTCCAATCCTCCTTCCCACTTTGGGGGAACCTTCCAAAGAGTCAGTGGCAAGACAGCTGACCAAGGTGATCTAGAATCTGAACCACTAAGTCTCACATTAAAGGACTTGGGGGGAAGAACGCTAATGAGGCTCTGGAACCTACATGAGTAAGGCTCACACAGGGTTTAGGCAACCCTAAGGGGAACCCATCTCAATTACTGAGACAGGGGGTCCAGCAATCCCCTCCCACGTCCTGCCTTGGCAGGAGAACTGCACCCTCAAAGGGGGTAGGGAAGGGGCAGGCCCTGCTCCAGCTGCTGGAGGGCGGCAGAGGTGAGCAACAGGTGGCCAGGGCATGGGATGCCTCGTACCAAGTCGGCACGTGTTTGGCAGAAGTCGGGACACCACGAAGGTGCTATCACCGTCTTCCTCCGTGTACTTCTTTTCCTCATAGTTGGAGTCTGTGTACTCCAGGAGCAGGCGGATGGGGTGAGCTAGCTGAGACAGAAGGCCGGGGCAGAGGTCAGAGATGGAGGGGCCTGATTGCTGCCTTTCCCCCTCCAGGTAACCTCCCACACACTCCCCGACCGCCCACCCACTCCCGCACCCGAGAGGACAGGCGGCAGGATGGGGCTGGGCTCCAGGAAGCCCCGAAGGGGAAACTTCTGCCAGAACCGGTCCCCAGCTGCGCAGCGATTCCCCGCCCGCCCGCCTCCATCCCAGCCGCACAGGCAGACTCCTCGCTCACCCCACGGACGTCCCAGTAACCCAAGGTCATGGCCATGGTGCTGGTGTTTGCGCTCGGAGAGGAGGGGCCTCAGTAGAGCTGGGACTGGAATATATCCCCAGACCGGGAGCGGAGGGGTGGGGCGAGGCGGGGCCTGATGCGCGCACCGCCCTCCCGGCCCCGCCCCCGCCGCGCCCTCGAGCTTCGGCTACACCCGCGACGACCACACCCCCAAGGCCGGCGGGGGAAAAACCATATCAGCCAGATTCGCGGGGACTTGGGGGGCTAGGTCTGGTCGCTGGGACGCCGAAGGTCTCCTGGCTCGGGCTCACCCCGTTCCCCAGCCCCCATTGAGAATTCCGCTAGGTCCTGGGGATGTGGCAGTGAGCGTAGGAGACAAGCTTGAACGATAAAAGAAGAAAACTCTCTCCCTTCCCTCCCTCCCCTCTAGGCATCTTTCAGCTGTGTCCCTGGGCTGCCCAGTTCCCGCGGGCTGTGGGGGGCTCAGATGCCAGGTCAAGGACAAAAACCGGTGCCTGTGAAATGGAGGGTTTAAATCAGCACCCGTCACAGGAAGAGCAGGACTCAGCACAGTCCGAAAGCGCCTCCCAGTCCTATTATCCGTGACAGCCCGGTGTCTTAGAGAGCAGACTCTCAGTGGGGTGGGAAGGACCACCCAGGACAAGGGGCAGAAAAAAAGAACTGTGGTCTCAGTGTTTCCCTTTCAAGGACTTTGGAGGACCAGCCCTTCAGTCAGGGGGCTAAGAATGATAAGGATCATATGTGTAGTAATCAATTAGCTATGGCCTACACTGTGACTCTAAATCCAGAACCAGTCCCAGCGA